TACTGTTGTTGTTGTATATACAGTGTTAAAATAAAATAGCTTCAAATATTGTGTTGATTACAAAATCCTGCAGTACACAGTGACAAGCTAGCAGGTGTTTAACCAGTTATTGAATGTCTGGATGCATTGAATGTATCACAAACACTAACACACCTGAATCACTGTATTTAACACTTAATAAACTAAAAAAAAACTTGTAAGTATTTACAATACATTTGACAATTGCCAACATATTTCTTTTGAACAGTTGTCGACAACGTGCACAGGAGCTGAAAATCAAATTTGTTTTGATAAAAAACTTAAGTTATGTGTAGTCATTTTTAAAGGTATTTTGAATTTTAAATGTGGTTAAACCCAGTTTTATTGGAATATTGAGCCAAATGACTACGACATCATTGTAGTTACTGAAAGTTGGCTTTGCGATGGTATATTAGATACCGCATTATGTGACAATCGTTACGATATCTTTACGATCGGCCAACTACTCGGAAGGGCGCGGACTGATATTAACATAGGGTGTACGGAGTCAGTCTGGATAACATTTATTAGTCCTACATCCTATTGTGGTAATTCCTCCTATTATACTGGTAACATCCCTATATTATGGTTTAAATCACAATATCAAATTCGGAATTAAGCGCAGCAGCAAATGAATTTCTAAACAGTCTGGACTATACAGGTATGATACAATACAATTTGACACCGAATTGCAGCGGTAATGTTTTGGACCTAGTCATCTCGAACGCTGTCTTAGAGTGTAAGCAGAGTAATACTTCTCTAGTAGATATTGACCGATTTCATATTCCGTTACAAATACATATGTATAGAAAACTATCTTCTTAAATCAATTCGCCCCCAACCGCGATTAATCAGAAGGTTTTTTAGGGCAGACTACGCGATAATTAATGAAAGTCTACGTAAAGTTAACTGGACCACTTATTTGGGCTCGAGCCACGTCGATGAAATGGTAGATAAATTATATTTAAAAATAAAACCGTTGATTAATTTGTGCGTTCCCCAGGTAACAGTTTCTGGTAGATTTAATTATCCTAAATGGTATCCTTCGTCACTAATTAACGTTATAAAAGAAAAACATAAAGTCCACGGGAAATGGAAAAAGTTTAAAAATCTCATAGACTACGCGGAATTTTCATTATTACGTCGAAGACTTAAAGATCTTCAAAAAGATTTTTTTAATAAATATACTGATAGATGTGAAAAATAAAATAAAAAATCACCTCAAGTTTTTTGGAACTTTGTTAAAGACAGACGGAATCTTCAGGTTACCCTTGTCATATGAACTACGACGGTAACACATTTTCAAACGGCGAATATATCTGTAACGCTTTCAACAAATTTTTTCAAAGTGTGTTCGACCCATCCGACATCCCTGTCCAGAGTTCGCGAGGTTCGGAATCGCCTTATTGCGTGAGGCGATTCGTTCCGGCGACCAGTTCATTCAGTCTATGCAACCACAAAAACACTAAAAACTATTTTTGATAAACTAGATCCCAAAAAAAGGCGCTAGCCTGGACGGTATACCTGCTAATTTTAATCTTACCTCTGCAAATTATATTTCAAAAATCTCTAGATGATGGTATATTCCCCAAGCCATGGAAAGATACTTAGATTGTGCCAATACACAAAAAAGGTACCAAAGCAGACATAACAAACTACAGAGCAATCTCACTTCTTAATAATTTCGGCAAAATGTTAGAAAAAGTTGTATATGAAGAGATTTATTTTGCCTTGCGGCATTTTATACCGTCATCACAATATGGTTTTTTTAAAGCACGTTATGTTAATATTAACCTTTTTGAACTTAGTAATTATACAGACTTCGAAAAAGAATTTGATCGCGTGAATTTTAATGTCTTAGTTTTGAAGTTAAATGCTGTATGAATAAAGGGTAATCTTCTCCGTTGGTTAGAATCTTACTTAAGAAACAGACGCCAAGCCGTCGTGATGGGTGGTTACAGATCCGACTTCGTGGATGTCACTTCCGGGGTGCCGCAAGTCTCCTTATTATCACCTCTACTATGAAATATTTACCTTTTTGATATAGTTAATTGCTTTCTGAACTAAAAACACCTATTATACGCCGACGATAAGAAAATATTTCGCAGAATCGATAACCGCGCGGACTACGTATTTCTGCAATCTGATCTAAATTATTTAACACCTTACTACCGTGAAAATAATATAACTGTAAATACCCAGAAATGTTTAACTATAACATTCACGTGGAAGAGACACCCTATATGTACATCTCGACTACCAGATAAACAATGAACTCACATTCAGTCAAAAAAGTATCGGGAATTGATGATTTGTTTATGGTTCCAAATTCAAATTTTTGTTTTTTTTTTGGTGTTAGATTGGCACAACAGTTTTCCAGTTTGGCGCGGAGTTTGAGTTGCATCTGTCATTTATATTAAATACAGTCCTGTTTTTAGTTATATCATATCTAGTGTATATTGCGAATTTTATAATGGACAAAAGCATCAAACAAAGAGTTTGTCTTAAATTTTGCATCGCCAATGGAATTTCGAGTTCGGAGTCACTGAAAATGCTTATGGTGAATCGACTTTATCAAAGACAGGTACTTATGAGTGGTACAAAGCGTTCAAAAGCGGTCGAGATGTGATGGAAGATTTGCCTCGCTCTGGTAGGCCATCAGCGTCTGCAACTGAAGTTAACATCGCAAAAGTAAAGGAAATAGTGACTGAAAATCCTCATTAAACTTTGACAGAGATAGCCGCCGAACTTTCTGTATCGAGTTGACAAGTCGATCCGTACCATTTTAACTAATCATTTGGGTATGAAACATGTTGTTCCCAAAAGACCTGAATTTTCTAAAAAACTCAATCGTATGAGAGTCGCTGAGGATATGTTAGAATGAATCAATTCCGACGTATTGTTACTGGTGACGAGACGTGGGTTTACGAGTTTGACATGCAAAGTAGTCAACAAGTTTCGGAGTGGCGTCTTCCAACTGAACCGAAAGCGAAAAAACCACGCCAAAGTCGATTAAAAGTCAAAGTCATTGTTGGTATGATTCCTTTGGTGTTAGGCGGAATAAAACGAGAGTGGACTGTATAAATAATATTTAAAACACTGGTTAAGTACAGGGTTGTCGTTGTAGGGAAAAGAATATAAAAATATGAACTGTATATAAGGACCGCGAGCGGGTACGTGTCTTAATCGCGTCGATCAGCTGAATGCCGTGCTTGTGGCCGGCGCGCGCGCATCTCGTCGTGCCCGAGGTCCCCTCTCTTTCTCTCTCGCTGCCAATGTCCTTGAGCACGTGTTGAATGCATGATTCAACATACTCCCCGGGTTGAAGTGTCTTCAACAGAAGAGATAGGAAGAGGGCATATGGTGTTGAAGGCTCGCCGAATGACACCCTTACGTGTGCGGATGGTGGCGACCCTTGCGATGCCGTCTCTGCCGGGTAGCACACGAACGATGCGTCCTAGAAGCCACATTAAAGGGGGTAAGCCTTTTTCTTTAATTATTACAAGAGTGCCCTCTTTAAGTTCCCCAGAAGATTGACGCCATTTGGTTCTCTCCTGAAGCCAAAGGATGTACTCGTGAGAGAAACGAGCCCAGAAATGCTGTTTCAGGTATTCGATTCGACGAAACCGTTGTAAGCTGGTGATGTTGTTGCTCTGGATCTGTGGATGTGGCAGCATGATTAGCGATCGCCCAATAAGGAAGTGAGCAGGTGTCAAAGGAGTTATGTCCGTAGGGTCACTGGATAAGGGAGTTAGTGGCCTCGAGTTCAAAATAGCTTCGACCTGTGTCAAGCATGTAGCCATCTCTTCAAACGTCAAGTTTGTTAGGCCCAAGATACGTCTGAGATGGTGCTTTGTCGACTTAACTGCGGACTCCCACAATCCGCCGAAGTGTGGAGTGTACGCCGGTATGAATGAAAAGCTTATACCTGAGTAAATATCTTTGAAGTTTAAGTCCTGTGATAAAAGATCAGACAATTCATTAAACGCGCCCACAAAGGTTGTGCCATTATCCGAGAAAACGTTTCGCGGCCTTCCTCTGCGAGCAATAAAGCGGATCATACTTGCTAAGAAAGCCTCTTTTGTAAGGTCGGATACAAGTTCGAGGTGAACTGCCCTGGTAGCTAAACACACAAATATGCAAATAAAACACTTGATGAGCCTACAGCCTCTGCCCATGATAGGCCCAGCGTAATCCACGCCTGTGTCCAAAAAAGGAAACTCTAAATGTAAACGCTGCTCTGGAAGGTCACCCATGATAGGTTAAACAGTACTAGCCTTTATCCTGCAAAGTTTTACACACCGATGTGTGGTTTTGGCCAAATTCCTACCACCAATGGGGTAATAGTGATGTCGAATTGTAGCAAGTAAGAGTTGCGGTCCTGCATGCAAGAGACGAAGATGGTACATGTTAAATATTAAAATACAAATAATATGAGAGCTGGATAAAAGAATTGGATGTTTTACGTTAAAGTCGTAAAATGAATTCTTTAATCTGTCACCTATACGAATAAGCTTAGTTGCTTCATCTAGGAAAGGTGATAGAGACAAAAGTTTATTTTTTGCTGGCAGTGGTCTACCCGCCAACAATAAGGTGTACTCTTCCCGAAAGGACTCCTGTTGACTAAATCTGAGCAAGAAGTGTAATGAAGTAGTCAACTCACTGCTAGCAAGAAGACCACTCAAGACTTTCGGCACTTGTTAATAAATCGGAATACATTATTATTATTATTATTATTATTATTATTATTATTATTATTATTATTATTATTATTATTATTATTATTATTATTATTATTATTATTATTATTATTATTATTATTATTATTATTATTATTATTATTATTATTATTATTATTATTATTATTATTATTATTATTATTATTATTATTATTATTATTATTATTATTATTATTATTATTATTATTATTATTATTATTATATTTAATACACTAGCAGCTTAAGGCTGATGCGTGTATATCATTACACTTGTGCATTTAAATGTTTATCAAGTCTATTTTTAAAAATGTTAATACTCTTGGCACCTATCACAGTTTCCGGCAAAGAGTTCCACATATGCACTACTCGGTTAGGCAAAAAATATTTTCTGGGATTACTAGTACACAGGTGCTTGCTGAGCTTCATAGAATGACCCCTTAGTTGCGTGTTCGGGTTCATTGTGAACATAGATTCAATATCTCTCACGTTGTAATGGTGGTTGAGTATTTTATAGGTTTCTATGAGGTCTCCTCTCATTCTCCTCTGTTCCAGTGTTGGCAAGTTGAGTTCCAAGAGGCGTTCTTGATATGATACGTTTTTTAAAGAGAAAACCATTTTGGTTGCCCTTCTTTGTACCCTTTCCAACATCTCAATGTCCTTTTTGAAATATGGATTCTGTTAAGAATAATTATTGATTAAAATTCAGTAATTTATAGAAAACTGTTTAATAATTACTCAAACAATATAATAAGCGGCAGAGTTCATAGTCGCTCCGCCATGACATTCAAAAAAAGTGTTACCAACCCACAAAAAAAAATAAAGTGGCAAATCATTGCCATTAAAAATATATGTTCTGTCCTGAACATAGTTGGGCGGGCAGAATAATTAATATAATTGCCCTACAGAACAATAGACATTGGCAAATACATGAATTTTTTTAAGTTATAGAACTAAATAGAGTACAACTTTATAAATTATATAAGAAGACAATGGCAAGTATGTAGACTATCTAAAAGTAAGTATAAATTTTAAATAATACATTTTGACATATATCTATGTTGGCATATTTTTAAATTAAATAAAGGAACTACTGTAAACATTTTAAATCAATTTTAAATGTATTCAAAGACTCCAATGAAATCACTTTTAATTTACAACTGATCACTCTCCATTGGGAGAGGACACAACTTATGAATAGATCTTTTATAAAGCTTGTTCTTATATTTGACTTCGACCACTCTAACATTATTGTCACGTCCAGGAAATATATTTACAACGATAGCCATAGGCCATTCTAAAGGAGAAGTATTAACATTTTTAACAAGTACAATGTCACCTACCTTAATGTTAGGTTTACCATACTTCCACTTGGGACGGCTTTGCAATTGAGTAAGATAGTCAGAAGACCATGTCTTCCAAAAGTGTTGTTTAACTTGTGAAATTATTTTCCATAATTTTAATCTTTGTACTGGCATTTCCAATAAATTAATATCTGGGTAAGTAGTCAAAGCAGTGCCAATCAGGAAGTGTCCTGGCGTCAAGTATCCACCTTCACTGGGGTTGGAAAGCAGAGGTCGAGAGTTCAAAACACCTTCTATCTGGACCATTACAGTATTGAACTCTTCATAGGTCAGGCAAAGATTCCCAACAACCCGCTTGAGATGGTGTTTTACACTCTTGACCCCGGCCTCCCAAAGTCCACCAAACTCAGGGGAGTAACTAGGAATAAACATAAATTTTATGTAATTATTTTTACAATGATTATAAACTGAGTCTCTATGAGACTTCAATGATTGCAAATTGTATAATTCTTTTAGCTGGTTGTCAGCACCCTTAAAGGTCTTGGCATTATCACAATATACCTTAGAGGGCATGCCTCGTCTTGAGATAAAACGATCGAAGCATGCTAAGAAAGTCGCAGTAGTCATATCTGACACTACTTCCAAATGTATAGCTTTGGTAGAGAAGCATACATATACCGCGACATACCCTTTGGTTACAAGTGGTTTGCGAATCCGTGCTACTTTAATATCAAATGGACCACAAAAGTCGATGCCGACGTGCTGAAAGGGCCTAGAAGAAGTGACTCTCTCTACAGGAAGAGAACCCATAAGTTGCCTAGCAGTGTTAGCTTTAAGTCGAGCACATTTTATGCATTTATGAAGTACCTTTTTAACCTCTCGTATGCCATTCACTATCCAGAATTTCTGTGACAGAGAGCTAAGTACAAGCCTAGGACCTGCATGTAATAAACGAAGGTGTTCTCTTTCTATTAACAAAGAAGTTATAAAACTGTTTTTAGGTAATATTATAGGATGCATTTTTTCTTGCGAAATGTTAGCATTTTGTAGCCTACCACCTACGCGAAGTAACCCTTTACCATCGATATAAGGATATAAGCTAGCAATACCTGATACTATTTTTTCATTGCTATTTATAGAAGCAATTTCTTTTGAAAATTCAAGTGTTTGTACACAGCGTATAATTATGAAGAGCGCTGACTGTAACTCTATAGGAGTCAAGTTAGGATCTTTTATCAAAATCTTTTTAGATAAATTATTATAGAATCTGTAAATATAGGCTACAACTCTTTGTAGTTTATTTAAACTAGAAAACCTTTTTAACAAATCAAATGATAAGGACTGCTCTTCTTTTTGTACCAGGCAAGGAATTTCCTCTACTGGGTCATGAATATAGCATGAATCTAACTTGGCAGTTTCATTTTGTTGTTTAATAAAGTCTGAATTTAATAAAAATTGTGGCCCATGCCACCACAAGTCATTTGACTGCAAACTTTGCGGCTCTACCCCTCGCGAGATAAAATCTGCTGGGTTTTGATTAGTGCGGACATAGTGCCACGAAAACTTCTCTGTTAGCCCAAGAATTTGTTGAACTCTATTATTGACATAAGTATTACCTTTGGCTCTGCCGTTCTCTATCCAAGCAAGAACAATTTGGGAGTCACTGTATAAAACCACAGAATGTGGAAATCTAAAATTGAGTACCTTAGATACCCTGTTTGCCAACTGGGCAAGAAGGAGTGCACCATTTAATTCTAACTGGGGTATGGTAAGTACCTTTGATAGAGGTGCAATACGTGATTTTGAACATAGGAGATTGACCACCACATTTCCATCTGGTTTTACAATACGTACGTAGAGACAGCAACCAAAGGCTTTTGAGGAAGCGTCTGCAAATCCAATTAAGTCAACAGTTAAAAATTCATTACAGTTTAAAAATCTAGGTATTGAAATTTTATTCATATTATTTAAAAGTTTAATAAATCTGTCCCATTGTTGGGAGTAATCGCTAGGAAGGTCATCGTCCCATCCCAGCTTCATAGACCACAAATTCTGCATAAAAATTTTTGCTGTTACTATGATTGGCCCAATAATGCCCAATGGGTCAAATATTTTGCCAATAAAGCTAAGAACTTTGCGTTAGCGTTGCTTTACACGAAGAACGGGACAGTTTCAGCTGCTTTATGTCACTCATTGCGATGATTGAGCTGGTAGCACGCATATATGATGAAAAGATAGCTCACTCACAAACACTTTTAGCACTTGTCCGAATACGATTAATAATTTCCGCACCTTGATTTGATGTTTCTTCTTTGCATAATAGGAACAATCCTTTTGAAATATTTTCACCAATTCCACTGGTGAAGTTCCGCCGCCGGTAAAAACAGGCATAGGCCCGCCAGGAGCACGCGGTCGAAACACACGCCAAATTCTATCGCACAAAACTCCACAGATCACCAGTAACTTTACGCAAGACTTCGAAGGACCACTTTTGTTAAGAATAATTATTGATTAAAATTCAGTAATTTATAGAAAACTGTTTAATAATTACTCAAACAATATAATAAGCGGCAGAGTTCATAGTCGCTCCGCCATGACATTCAAAAAAAGTGTTACCAACCCACAAAAAAAAATAAAGTGGCAAATCATTGCCATTAAAAATATATGTTCTGTCCTGAACAGATTCCATATTTGGAAGGCGAATTCTAGCAGAGGTCTTATGTATGTTAAGTAGATGTTAGAAACAGCTCCTTGGTAATAACATAGAATGCCTTTCTTATCATGTACAGCAATGAATTCGCCCTTTTTGTTATCATTGTGATGTGTTCATCCCATTTAAGGTTATGTGTTATGATAACTCCAAGGTCCCTTTGTGAGTTTACTACTTTCAATGGCACAGAATCCATTGTGTACTTGTATTTAGGGTTATTATTACCGATATGTAGTACAGTACACTTAGTCTCATTGAGTGAAATCATCCATTATCTTGTCCACTGCATAATACGGTCCAGGTCTTGCTGAATTATATTGTGAGAAATTAGGGGGTTTCCCATAATTTTGGTATCGTCTGCGAATACTGACAAGTTAGAGTGAACGACATTTTTCAAATCCGTTATAAACAGCACAAACAGGATCGGTCCAAGCACTGAGCCTTGAGGCACACCACTGTGTACGTTATGAGTGTCTGATAGTGTTTCACGTACTCTTACTTAGAATTTTCTGTTGCTTAGGAAATCCTCTATCCATTTCAAGAGTTGCCCACGAATTCCAAGGTGTTCAAGTTTGGTTGTAAGCCTTCTAATAGGTACCCGATCAAAGGCTTTTTCATAATCCAAGTAAATAACATCGATGGGCTGATGGGTGTCCCAGTGGTTTGTCCATTTGTCCAAGCTCACAAGGAGATTCGAGACTGTAGACCTTTTAGGAACAAAACCATGCTGTTCATCGATAATGATGTCATGTCACCGGCCAGGTGTTTATCACCCTTTTTATAAATTGGGGTAACATGGGCTACTTTCCACTCTTGAGGTAGTTTCCCATTTTGCATTGATAGGTTCATAATGTGTGCCAGCTGGGAACTAAGAACATCGCTGCATTGTTTCAATAAAATTGAAGGTAGCGCATCCGGTCCCATCGAAGTAGAATCACTAAATGTTTTTAAGGCCTTACTCACTTTGTCTGATGTGAATATGAGTGACCGAATAGAATTATCAACTCGAGGAATATTTATGCTTGGGACATGCAAATAAGCTGGCTCCACAATAAAGGATGTTTCAAATTGTAGGGCGAACAAGTCTGCAACTGTTTTTGGATCACTGGTAATATTCCCTCTTGCATCCTTCAATGATGGTGGCACACATACCGTTGAAGATAGTTGCTGGCGCATATAAGAATAGAATGATTTCGGTCCGGACTTTACAATTCCTTTCTCAAATTCCATTCTTAGGTTTCTGACAATGTTGGTTAGTTCATTGTTTGCTTTCCTGTATTTTTTGTATAATTCATTAGAACCACTCAAAGTATACTGTCTCCATAGTCGTTTTTTGTTCTCTGCCAAATCTAGAACTTTATAATTGATCCACGGTTTATTAATGTTGCAAATCTTACGTGTCTTTTTCAGTGGTATGTGAGTTTCAATGACATTGTGTGTTTTTCTTGTAAACTCTGTCCAGGCAACCTCAACATCACTGGCATTTGTATCTTCAATGTTATTGTCGGCTAGCGTTTGGGCTATGTTCTCATAATTAGCTTTGAAGTAATTCCTCCGTGGTTGTTGAGTAGCAATTTTGCTAGTCGATTGGGTTCTGATTTGTG